AAATGTGATATAGATTTAATACAACAGTTCAATAGACAAGTTAATATTAAGTGACTTACATTGTCTGACTATAACACTATTGTCTGATTTTGCTTTATTTCGTTGTCGAAAATAGTTTGAAACAAAGTCACAGCTCAGCCGCTGCGCATCTCCATTCAAACACAGTGGTGTCTCGTTTATGAATAAACTGCGTTTTTAAAGGAATCTTGTGAGTCAGTGATCCATACTTGGCCACATGTCACGTCACTTTTTCACTTAACCTTCCAAAAATGGACACGACTAGAAATCAGTGGTTAAGTTGTATTTACAACACTGTTCCAGAACACTTCAACCCAAATATTCAGATGTGTGCAGCACATTTTATGGAGGACTGTTTCCTGATCCTGGAAGAGTAGACTACAATTTTATATATTTAAAGCGAGTTTTTTGGGCAGTGTAGACTAGAGTAGGGCTTGTTGTCATTTCTCCGATCACAAATGCAGACATGGTTTTATGTTTACGCGGCGCGATGCAACGCAATGCGTAAAAAGACCATATAAGTCATTATAATCCATAATTATATCCCCACTGGATGCAACAAATGCCTCGTTTATAATGGGTTTTCATGTTTTTGAATCGTCGCTCCGGCCGGGACACGGCATCACAGTATGGTGAGGGGCATAACATTTCCGTCTCATGCTTGAGGTATTCGGCCAATCACAACGCACTGAATAGCTGGCCAATCACAGCACACCTCGCTTTTTCAGACCGATGAGCTTTGTAAAAATCGACGCATTTCAGAAAGGCGGGGCATAGAGGAGAAACAATAATGTACAGTATGTGGAAAAAATTTGTTTTTTGAACCTTAAACCGCATAAACACATTTCATTACAGCAAATACACTAAATAATGTTCTTTTTAGCAGCATCATGACACCTGTAAATCATTTAATATTTCTGTATTCAACATTTTAAAACATTAATCTTAACATGAATTTATGGATTTAATTGCACTCATGCCACCTCTGATCCTCATTAAATATCTGAAAATACACCTACGTATATGCCACTTTTGTGTTCTTCTGTGCCACCTCTGTACAAATTAATTTGAATACTGATTTAGTTTGATTAGTAACTTATTCTTCTTATTCTACTTGTTCTTATTCTGTGGTTTTAATCAGAATTTTTAAAAAGCTTATAAAATATATATATTTTTTAATTTGACGTAAAAGATTACATACTTTTAATAAAGTTAGCAAAATGCCATTACAAAGGTAAAAACAAAATTCCACTCTAAGTCACTTTGAGTCAAATATCACCTCGTAATGGGAAGGCAAATTTTTTTTGGATTATTGATTAGAAGGTGCTCCTAAATTTTTGACTGTGCTCCTAAATGTTTTAAGTTAAAAATAAATAAGCGTAGAGCCCTGTAGTGTAAGAATGACAACATATCCACGTGTTCTAGTCTACTAATAATAAAATTATAATCAAAAAACACTTTTTAAAGGAGTATTTACCAGAAATGTTATTTACCAGACTTTATTCAGGAGAACATGTAAATGTGCAGTATTTCTGGGAAAAAAAAGAAACTTTTTTTTTTTTTTTTAATCAATTAATTGGAGATGCTTTTGATTATTAAAATTTTATGGAACCATTCAAATGGAATTTGGTAAAGATAAAACTGTAAAACTCAATTAATTAGACTTGCTTTTTGATTAATACAATTTTATTTAACCATTAAAACAGAGTATAGAAAAAAAAAACGGAAAAAAAAAAAAACTGAATTTGGAAATAAAACGGATTTCATAGGGCCCTATAATTGTGTTCCCAGATGAACGTTATAATAAACCCAAACTCACAACAACATGCAGAGATGGAGTTTGAGACGCTGCACACATGTAAATGATAACAGTTCCTGTGGAACTACTGTGAACGGAGCCGCTGTGTGACGCATGTACTTATCCTACACGCATGTAAATAATTAAAGCGCATATACTGTATTAGAACCGCATCGCATATAATTATTTAATTCAATCATAGCTTTTGTGAATTCACAATTATGCTTAATTATGATTTTTAAATGGGTTTAATATATCATGCAGCCGTGGGTTGTCTAAACAGTCTAATAATGTTTTATGGATTCTCGTCCATGAAATGTGCCACTTCCGGTATTTTGCTGGTTAATCGACGCAAGAAAAATTAAGTCGAGGATTTAAAAAAATCGAATAGTCTAATAAAATCGACGAATCAAGATAGCCCTAATGCAGTTCCAAATATAACCTCTCTCTGCATTACATGTGATATGCCACATTGATAAGGATGTTTGTGGATCACCATTATGGACATCCCACGAGTGCTAACTTCCCCCATGTCTGCTGGAATGCTCTCCAACCCGTCGGCTTTGTTTCTTTGCACGAGTTACTGAGCCGATGCCGTAGGGGCAGACAGCCAGAGGATCAGGTTCTGCTACTATTGTCCCGCCTAAGTTTCACTGCGTATGAAAATTGAAAGCTCTTCAGATGGGTTTGGAGCTCTGAGGGACTTTGGAGTGTTTTATTTCAGAAGAGTCTGGAACTATCACATGGCAAGCTCTTGAACTTTGACCGCTGTTAGAGGCGTGGATGGTGTCAGACTGTGTGGAGCGGACAGAACTGTACTGTTTTGATTTTGCATAAGCGACGAGGATCCTGCCATGTTATCGAGCTGCTAAAGAGAGCATGACTGCATGTTCTTCTGCAAAGAGCCTGAAAGAAAAATATCAAGACCACAGACATAGACGCGATGACCGCCAGAAATCTGCTCCGCTGATGGATCTCGCACTATAAAGTCTGCTTTTCCTACGCTTCAGGTAACAAGACTTTTCCAAGAGCAGGGATCGGCAGGTTTTTAAAGGAATGACGCACGCAGTAAATATGGGAAAAAATGCTTGAAATGTGAATTGTTTCCAGCAGGAAGTTTTTATGAGGGTGTGTGTTGTTGAAGCCTGAACTATTTACTCATCATTTCTCTCTACACGTTTTATAATTCACTCATCTGGATAACTGGTGTTTAATATAGCTTTAAGGCTGGTCATTTAACAATTAATATACTTAAAATCAATAAGTTGTGTTTGTTTGAACAAGGCCAGAACAGTTATCGCATGCTGATTTGTATTTATTTTTTTAATGTTGTGGATTAATGCTTTAATGATTATTTTATTATTATTATTATTGTTTTTTTTATTATTATTTTAATTGTTTTATTTAATTGAATTTTATTATTTTATTTCATTTGACTTTTATTTTTAATTTTATTATTTGACTATTTTATTCTATTTTTATTTTATGATTACTTTAATTTTTACTTTTTTATTATTTTTATTTTATTATTTTATTATTTGATTGTTTTATTTTATTTTTATTTTGAAAGCTTTTTATTGGGCAAAATATTGTGTTAAGTTTGCAGTATTTCTGTCCAAATGTATATTTATGCAAAGTTTATTTACATCATATTTGGACTGGATTGAAGTTTTGAAGAATCTTTGTTTGATCTGAATGTTTTGTTTGGTTAAGAGGCATCATTATGCATGTTTTTCTAGTTCTTCAGGGTTTATGGTTTGGATCAGGGTTTATGGTTTATCAGGTCGTTTGTTCCAGTTCTCCAGACTCTATTCGGTTAGACTTACTTCACAAAGTCCCAATGACAGACAGCATTTCATATTCTGTTTCTGCCTGGAATCTCTCTAGAGCTCAAAGTCCACAGGTATCACCGCTGACCTTTTGAATCCACAGCCTGTTTGTGTAATTTAAATGAAAGAAACGGTTTAAGTGTAGCTTTGGCAGCTGGAGAGCTGATGTGGAGGGACACAGCTGGAATCAGTCAGCAGATATCTGAGTTTTGATTAATAGCATGTCTGAGATTAATAGCCCTGAATTTCATGTCTTAATAGGTTGTCGATGGTTCTTTTTATTGGCCATATTGCAGTGCTGTATATTACACTATGTAATATTACAAAGGCTGTCAGGGTTTGATGAGATGTGTAAGGGTTATTAGAGTTAACAAAAACTAAAAAAAACATTTGCGTTACTTGAAATTAAATAAACTTTAACTGAAATATATATATATATTTATATACTCATTTTCATTTAGTTGAACTTGATGTACTACAGCAACTAAAATGAAAAGAAAAAAAAAAAAAAACTATATACAATATGTACATAAAAAAAGAATAAAAATGACAAGAAAATAAACTAACATTACAATCAGTTACTAAAACTTACTAAAGTTACTAAAACTAAAATTAAGGTGAAAACCTAACATATAAAAATTAAAACTAATTTATATTAATAAAAACTTTAATAGCATTTTAATGAATTTAATAGTATTTCAACTAAAATTGAAAAAATATTTGATAAACTAAATGCATATTGAAAAAACAACTAAAAATGACAGTAACAAGTACTAAAACTTTAAAATGAAAATATAAAAATATTCAAAGTACTAATAAAAACACTAATAGTATTTCAATGAGAATTAAAATTTAAAGAAAAATTGATAAACACAAATTAAAGAATTAAAATAAACTTAAATACAATATAATAACTCATTTAATATAAAATATAATTTATTATAAATTTATTCATAAAAACTGTAACACTATTTCATTGAGAATTAAAGTTGATATAAAAGTGGATAGAGTGGGAGAACTTGCACAATTGGTGGCTGACTAAATACTTTTTTGCCCCACTGTATACATACAAAATAACAAAACAGAAAACAAACATTTAAACCAATACAAAATGTTAATAAACACTGGTACAAAATAGATTAAAAAAATCAACACAACACGTTTGACTACATCTGTGACATGCTAATAGTTTGAAGTTATAAAAGGGCAGTGCTGTAAAAGATTAACAGCGCAAAGTTGAATCCCTTGAGTGAGTCTGGTAGCAAATATTTGCAGCTAACTTTCCTCATGCATAGTGTCAGTAGATCCGTCCCGATCTCTCCATCAACCATTAACAATCTGTCTTTCTGTTCCAGTGTTGTTCCGGCACCACTGCCACTGGCTATTGATAAGGTAAGCGCTCACGACTGCCTTTTTAATGCATTATATATGAGCTTGTCCAAATTAAACAGTGGTCATCAATGAATGTTTTCCAGTTCATTATGTTCTTGTGTTTTTTGAATACCAAACAGCATGCAGCTTTGCCATGTTGTCTCAAAGCAGCTGTCTTATGAATGCCGTTGATTTCTAAGTCTTTGCTTTGAATCAACACCTCGCGTTATGTGCCGCTATCTGAGGTTTGCACGCTGCTCTCCGTCAGGCTGTTATATGGTGTGTTTGTGAACAATCCTGGAGGTGGTCCAGATGAAGTTAGATAATGCAGTTATCGTTATCCTCTCATGCCATGCTCCGTGTGGGATGCCTCTGTGAAGCTTTAACAGGGAACAATTCGGTTGAGTAGCGAGTCATTCCCAGAACAGAGGTGTCTTTCTTTAGAAGTTTTAAATATGTACTCATGCTTAATCATGTTCGTGTTTAAGCCGAAATATAATAGCATTGTTCATTGTGTGCTTTTTGGTGCATCTAAAGTCAAATGCTATTACTGACACCATGTCGATCAGATCTCAGCAACACTAGACACGCCTGCTTCCCAGTTCACGTCATTTAGTGCATTACTAAAGTGAAGGTAAGGTTGTTTGAAGTACATTACCATTTGAAAGTTTGTGGCTGGGAAGATTTTATAATGCGTTTAAAATAAGTTTCTTATGCATACCAAGGCTGCATGTCTTTATTAAAATGTATATTAAAATGAATTTAACAGTAATATGGCAATCTGTAGGCATTGAGAGTCCAAATGCAAAGATGTTGCATGTAGAGATTAAACGATTCAGTGAGCTGGCCTTTATATGTTTATATTTATATATTTGATTAATAAAAAGGTAACTACCGGTATATGTAAGTTATGTATTTTATTATATATAAAATATTTTATATATATTATTTTTTTAATGCAATTTAAACATTTCACATACACACACACACACACACAAGCAGCCATTGCTCTAGTCTTCAGCTGTTTTTGATTAATTTAATGCATACAAAAAATTAATTTCATTCAAATAACTAAAAATATACTGACTAAACTCTTGAATGGTAGTATATGCATAGTTTTTAACTGATATTGCTCACAACTTCTTATGCTATAGAAGACAAGAAGTTGTGACTCTGCTGTAGCAGGTTTTAAATGTAGGAGCCTTAAAGTGAAGTAATAATGAATGTTTAGGGGAGTGTGTTTCGAATTCAGTCAGAAGTTTTAACTTGAGCAGATGGATTAGGAAAAACAATTGGTGAATGACGTCAGTCTGCAGAGTGATGACATAATCTGCATCTGTGATGATGACAAAATCATGCATGTGTAAATCATTACGTCATCGTGCTCAGAGCCTCTGTCTGTTCTAATGAAGACAGTGTGGATGGACTGGTGTCCGCCTTAAACCCCATGAATGCAGGCCTGCCAATGTCACGTCCATTTCCAGTTGCATATAGCACTTCTATATCTGACTGCAGCATCTGACGCTGTCAGTATAAAAATACTCTTTCCACCGCCTCTGCTGTGGGAGCGTCTCCTCATGTGGATTCAATAAATGTAACTAAACTTGAGTCACGATTTCATTATTTGGATCGTTAGGGTTACAACTGCTAGGAATGAGGCAATTCAATTTAAGAGCTCCATATGAGGAACAAAGCCTCTATTCATTTAGACTGGGACCATCCAAGGCTATCTGCCAGTTTTCACCTTTTCAGATGATGTTGTTTCTTTTGGTGAGACTGAAAACGGCTTTTGACTTAAACTGTGCTGCTGATTCAGATGGATCAAGGACAGCATGTGAAAAGATGCTCAGTAGGTTCAAAGTGTTTTATTGAGGCATGCATATCTATGGTTGTGAGATGGATTCACTGTGTGCAGATTTCTTTTTCACTGCTTTTTTTTTTCTTCTTTCTGTCATGCAGGTGTCTGCAAATACACCCAGTATGTATTCTCAGGAACTGTTTCAGCTCTCCCAGTACCTGCAGGTATGGAGCAACACTGACATCTACTGGCCATCTAAAGACATTAAGAGTCCAAATGTTTAGATGCATGTTGAGATGTTTGTCCGTTCAGTGAACTGGCCTATAATTATAAAATGTACTTATATAGTAGTATTGTTATTAATCCGTATTAGTATTATTATTATTCAAATAAAACCAGTATATACTATCTATTAGTCATTCACTTCCCCCAAAAAGAATCAGAATCAGAATGAGCTTTATTGCCAGGTATGTTTACACGTATGAGGAATTTGTTTTCATGACAGAAGCTTCCGCAGTGCAACAGAATGACAGTGATGGGACAAAAACACAGATAATAATAAAACACACCCTAACCCTAACAAGTAAATGGGGAATAACAATATATAAAATGATATACTTAAAAAATGTTACTAAAAATATTACATATATATTTTACAGTATATAAAATATTTTAATGTTACCATTTTTTCTTTGCTATTATTACTACTATTATTACACTATATATGTATATTATTATAAGTTTGGGGTCGCCGAAAAGATTTGAATGCTTTTGAAAGAAGACTCTTATACTCACCAAGGCTGCATTTATTTAATGAACTATACAGAAAAAAACTGTAATATTTGGGAAAAAATATTTCAATTTAAAATAACTGATTTCTATCTGAATATAGTTTAAAATATAATTTATTCCTGTGATCAAAGCTGAATTTTCAGCAGCTATTAATCTGGTCTTAAGTGTCACATGATCCTTCAGAAATCATTCTAATATGCGGATTGGCTGCTTAAGAAACATTTCTTTTTTCTTTTTGTGGAAACCATTCTAAATATTTTCAAGATTAAAAAGAACAACATTTATTTGAAATATAATTTTTTTGTTACTAATTCTTTATGCAAATTAACAATATTGCAGTCTTTACTCTCACTTTTGCTCAATTTAATACATCCTTGCTGAATAAAATTATACATTGAGTAGTATAAATATTGTATAATGGTATACATGTTAGAAATCAGATAATGTTGATGTCGTGTTTGTGTCCTTCAGGAGGCCTTACACAGAGAGCAGATGCTGGAGCAGAAGTTGGCCACTTTACAGAGGCTGCTGCACAGCACACAGGAAGCATCAGAGAGCAGCTGGCAGGTACGGCACACATCGCAACTAAAGAGAAGACCATTATTAATTATTCAGAACAGATGACTTTTTATAGGCATGTTTAATAGTGCTTAGAATATGTTACAGTTATGACTGTTTATTCCACTATACTTATGTATTTGTCATGATGGCAAGGTCTGTTTGTGTCTTTCCAGGCTTTAATCGATGAAGACCGGTTACTCTCTAGATTGGAGGTGATGGGGAATCAGTTGCAAGCATATTCAAAAGTAAGGCCCGTGTCTGCAGATTTGGTTCTGTGCTGACAGAAATATAGATCCTGTTTCACCAAAGCATGTTGTTTTCTCAGAACCAAACAGAAGATGGTATCCGAAAGGAGCTTGTAGCCTTAACAGAGGACAAACACAATTATGAGACGACAGCCAAAGAGTCCCTGAGGCGGGTCCTTCAGGAGAAAATCGAGGTGGTCAGGAAGCTGTCCGAGGTGGAGGTAAAAACACATAAAAAACCTTTTATTAATACATAAATAAAAGAGCTATTCTAGAGAGCTATGTTTTTATATATGCATGCTGCATTTACTTAATTTTATATACAGAAAAAATTTTAAATAACTTTTTTGTATTTTAATATATTTTAAAATATTATTTATTCCTGCAATCAAAGTTGAATTTTCAGCATCATTACTCCAGTCTTCAATGTCGCATGACCCTTCAGAAATCATTCTAATATGCTGATTTGTTGTTAATGAAAAAGCAATATGCAACTTAGTCTATGCATATGGATTTTACCATGGTAAAGGAAGTTTTAGATGTAAAGAATCATACCCAGTTATATCCATTAGATGTTTTCTGTTGTATTTGTTGCAATTGATCCATTTTTGTGTTGCAGAGGAGTTTGAGTAACACAGAGGACGAGTGCACACACCTGAGAGAGATGAATGAACGCACACAGGAGGAGCTCAGTGAACTCGCCAACAAATACAATGGAGCGGTCAATGAAATCAAGGATCTCACAGAAAAGATCAAGGCATGTCTGCCGTTCACCCACTGTCCCGCATAAAACCTGTTAATTTGCTAAACCTGTTAAAGAAATAGTTCACCCAAAATGAAAGTTTGCTAACAATTTATCACCCTCAGGTCATCCAAGATGTAGATGAGTTTGTTTCTTCATCAGATTTGGAGAAATGTAGCATCGCATCACTTGCTCACCAATGGATGCTCTGCAGTGAATGGGTGCCGTCAGAATGAGAGTCCAAACAGCTGATAAAAACATCATGATAATCCACAAGTAATCCACACCACTCCAGTCCATCAGTTAATGTCTTGTGAAGTGAAAAGCTGCGTGTTTGTAAGAAACAAATCCATTAAGACGTTTTAACTTTAAACTGTTGCTTCCAGCTAAAATACGAGTCCATAATATTGCTTCCTCCTGTGAAAAAGTGATCTTGTCTGAATCAGGAGAGGAATATGCAGATCAAGCACCGTTTACAAGCCAAAACATCTAAAACAGTTCTAAACAAATATGTGGGCAGATTTTGATGTGAGAGGACAACAGGAGGACTTTTTCACTGGAGGAAGCGCTATTATGGATTTTGGCCAGAAGCAATGGTTTAAAGTTAAAACACATTAATGATGGATTTGTTTTACAAACTCGCAGCTTTTGGACTCGCAAGACATTAACTGATGGACTGGAGTGGTGTGAATTATTGTGATGTTTTTATCAGCTGTTTCGACTCTCATTCTGACGGCACCCATTCACTGTAGCGCATGCATTGGTGAGCAAGTGATGCAATGCTACATTTCTCCAAATCTGATGAAGAAACAAACTCATCTACATCTTGAATGGCCTGAGGTTGAATAAACTTTCAGAAAATGTACATTTTTGGGTGAACTATTCCTTTACACTTTTCAACGTTTATGTTCAGTTGGCGGAAGTCAAACACGAGGAGCTCACTCAGAAAGGCCTGAACGAGAAGAAAGAGCTACAGCTGAAGATTGAAGAGATGGAGGAGAAGGAACAGGCGCTTCAAGCTCGAATCGAAGCTCTGCAGGCGGACAATGACTTCACGAATGAGAGACTAACGGCCCTGCAAGGTAAAACACTCAATCATGCAGTGTTTCTCTCAGTTGGGAGTCTCAGCACATCCTTATCATGGTAACTAAATAGACGAAACAGGTTGAGGAGGAGCATCTGTCAGTATAGAGCTCTTGTTTTAATTTTTGGTCATCCCAAATCTTCTCGTTGTCGTTTTCCAGTCCGGTTAGAACAGCTGCAGGAGAAAAGCATAAAGGAAAACAACAGTTTAGGTGAGTTGGAGACGCATGCGTCTGCTAGTGTGCTGCTAACCTTGCATCACCTCCTTGATTAATTCAGCATGGGAGCTCGCCTTTGGTTGCCTGTTTTTCATTTTTTTTCTGTCTGTCCGGCTTTGCTTCCGTTATGACCTGTTCTGTCTTGAAGGCCTTGACCTTTTGCATTGAGCATGTGTGTTCAAGTCCGCACCTATGTATACGGTTTAGGACTTTTACTTGACTCCCCCCCCAATTTGGCCGTTTCTCAATATGTTCTCACTGTGCATTTGATTAATTAATCATTATATGTGGAAGGTAGTCTGAACCAAGCTGGTTGGCCTGTTTAGTTATTTGTACTAGACTTCTTGCTTGATGATAAAGCTCTGAATGTTCAGGACCCATTTTATTCTACCACATTGCTAATTATTTAGATTTTAAGTGTCATTTAGTCAGTGTTTAATTAGGGTTGGCGCTAAACTCGGCAAGAAGATTGGACACCCCTGGTGTCTATGTAGTTAGTACACAGCAGGGCACTAGGGTTTGAAACAGCCCAAGAATCACTTGGTTATTTATATTCCTGAACCGATTTCTAGAACCACATTCTCTGGCAATAATAAGAGAGGCAAATGAAACTACTGATGTGGCGCGCCACAGACCACAAACCTCTTGGCAGAGACGTTTCGCTCGCTGAACTGTCCCTTTATCATTCATTTCCATGAAATATACTGATCTCAGGAATGATTAGGATAGCGTAACGTGTTTGCTTCAATAAGACCTGTGTAGAGAACATCAGCCTGTGCACAGCCAAAAGTGACTGAAAACTCCAAAGATGCTGTTGTTTGGCATCAAAATATGTGGTTGTTAAACCACGAATGGTGCGCATGCCATTACACAACAAGGCCTTTTGCTGTAAGAGCATAACTGTACAGGAAACTGACTTTTATAATAGGGCAGCCAGGTGGAAACAATGGAAGATTACAGGGCTGCATGATTTGGGGTAAAATGTAATTGCGATTGATTTGAAATTGTAATTTATTTATATTAGTTAGTTATTTTCTGGTTTTATATGCTTGTTTGTAGGGCTACACAGTTTGGCTAAACAATAATTGATTAAATATCAATATGACTATAAAATAATAATAATATTAATAATCATAATTTGTTTTTATAATTATTATTACTACTACTAAATAAAAGAACATTTGAAATATTGCTTTCGTAATGCTATTTCACTGTAAAAAAAAAATCATGTATTAAAAAAGGATAATGCAACAGTTAACCAAATAAATGCAGTATTTTATTTTACAGACTCTAAAAGTACAATACTAATATTTATGGCATTCTTAATTTATTTTTCAAACATTAAACAATAAAGCTTTTATTTTGAAAATGTTATTTAGAAGATTCCGAGACACATTCAGTATTTTTGAAACTTAGGGAATGGAATCTTCTACAAAAACATCATTTAATTAAATTTTTACATTTTCTTTAAATTTTTATTTTTTTAGATTTTTTACGAGTTGCAGGTTTGCTGTGGTTGTTTGTAGGGCTGTACAATTTGGATATAAAATTGTATTTGTATATCAATATAACCTTAAAATAATATTATTATTATTAATAATAATAATAATAATAATAATCATCACCAGTTGTTAGTAGTAGTAGTAATTCTTCTACTTAATAAATAAAATTTAGAAGGATTGCTATTGTAATAATGCTGTAATATTTCACTGTAAAATAGAAAAGGAAGTATTTAAGTAATATAAGTAATATAATCACAGTACAACTATAAAATTACAATACTAATATTTATAGCTGCCTCAATTTCTTTGATTTTAAATGTTAGAGAGAGCTTTAATTTTGAGAATTTATTTGAAAGATTCCCAGCCAAATTCAATATTTCTGAAATATAGGTGGTGGAATCATCAATTGATTTATCAGTCCCAGACCTCCATGTCACAGTGTCTGTCCCTGAGGTGACAGGTGATTGACAGGTGTCAGTCAATCTCTTCAGGTCCATGAATAGCTGCAGTTTCCCGTCTGTGTCCTTGTCCCGCTCTCTGCATCTCTGTCGGTTCCATCTCATGTTGTATCCTGTAGATCTGGCTTCTGTTTTAATATCATCTGATGCCCCTCGATGTGGGGATTTCTTCCATTTGCTGTTCATTTAATGGAGGGTTTTTCTTTCTTTGGTAGACCACTTTCTTTTAAAGAGTGGAGGAGACTGCACTTTAATCCAACAGTACATTGAGTGTCAATGTGAGTACACAGCATTCTTTCCAACGTCTTCCTCAGCCGTACTAATGAACCATCTTATGAATCAACACCAAAGCAGGCAGCAGTTATTCTCCTTTTACTCTGTAAAGTGAGGAAGGTGTTTACAGGGACATAAAATATAGCACCGGCCTGCATCATTTTTACTCAATATACTTGTTTCCTACTAATTTTGAGATTAGTGCCTGTTTTGCTCAAGCATGTCCCACCTTTTCACAAAATATGATGCATTTTGTAGCATTTTTACTTTTGACAAGCATTTGTTAGGTGAAGCCGTCTTGTATTTTCCCTTAATCAGCAGAAAAACACCACAAAGACATGATTCCTGTCTTCCTCTGAGCCAGATTACAACTATTTGTTCAATTCTCAACCAGTTTTCACATGCATTATTAATTCTGCAGATGTTATTTTATGCCTAATGCTGGTTTCCGCTTGTCCACTCTTTTGCGTATAGTGAGTTAAAATGACACATTTAATGTCATTAAAACAGTAAAACGTTTGACATTTGACTGCTTATGTTATTTTAATAAATGGATAATTTCAAATGAATTGAAATCTTCATTTGTTTTTGAATGTGATGGGTTTTGATTTATTTTTTAACTCAGCATCATCAAATTAGGTAATATTAGGCTTTTTAATTTTTTTTTGGCAAATCACAGAATTTTTGTTTCAAAATTCAGGGCTATATAAGTTTTAGACTTTTTTTATTTTTTGCATTTGCAACCAATTTAAAGTCTACTCCCTGTTGGCGATACTAGAGACATTTTTTATGTCCATATGTGGTTCATCAAATATTAATATAGTAAATTTCATTTTTAGAGTGCGTGCCAGTGTTTCCTGATTATTTCTGTTGTACTGCTCTGTTGTACACGCAACAAGAAATTCACCGTGAACAAATAACTCTTATGAAGTGTTTTTTTTTCATTCAAAAAAATTCACAAAAATAATTATTCAGAATCATTTTAAACCAAGACACATTAGTTATTAAATATTATTTGTTCATTAGTATTAGCAGACGTCTTATTAAAAATGCATATTCACAACATACTTTTGTAATAAAATCATATATTCATTTAGAACACTATTTATTAAGTATTTCACAATTTTTTTTGGTTATTGTCTAGCATAGTGAAGCCCAATCAAATCAACTGTAAAGTGGGTGACATGTTGGAAATGCAAAATAAATGTAATTTCCCCCCCCTTTTTTTAATAGGAAGAAATATGCAGTCATCTTTATCAAGTGATTTTATAATTTGGAAGATAAAATTTGTTTTAGTGTTGACTGTGTATTTGACAGTAGTTTTTCAAGCACCTTGTTCCAAATCTGGTGAAATGCTGCCTTCATTTCTGACTTTTATTCAGCTTGTAATAGTTCTAATATTGATCTTCCTTAAAGCTGCAGTCCGTAACTTTTTTTGTTCAAAATTTACAAAATTTATATAATGAGGAAGTACACCATGAATCCATTTTCCAAACCGTGTTTTTGGCCTGTCCTGAATCACTACAGTACACCTATAATAAGTGTTTATATTCTGACTATTTAGACTGGTTCGGGTAGGTACCGCTGCGGAGTAGCCCAGTACCTGCGTGATTCACCATAGACATAAACAGAGAGAAGTAGCTCTGGCTACAATGTTCTTTCGCAAGACGCACGCAGTTCTGTTTATTAACCGCTAGAGCGCCAAAAGTTACGGACCGCAGCTTTAAGCAAACATGAGAATTGTTTATTTTTTATGTTAAGCAATAAGGTTTGAGAGGCCATGCTGTATACGAATATATTTCACTATATTGTGAAACATAGAGTGGCCTCGAGTGCATTCAGGAGTCAGTATTTACACTATCTGTTGTTCAATCTAAAATATGTATGTTAGATCAGCTCAAAAGCTGTCCCTGAGATTCATATAATCTCTCAATACATAAGTGAATATCCTTCTCCAAACTTCACACGGATTCTTAATGAAAACACACTTGCATGCCGTCTGTTCTCACTTCACCGCCAGCTGACTTGGATTTTCTCGATTCCTGGGGATTTTCACTCTCACCAGCATGTGTTCTGAAGTCTATGAGCTGCCACTGATGCTTTTCATGTGTCACTTTTGCTTTGTTCTCTATGTATGGAAAATACTACAAATGCAGTTTTTTTGCTGCTGAGACTGTATTCAGTTGGGCTGCATCAGTGCTGCGTCATATTTAATGCTCTATTTACTAGATGTACCAGGTTTGGTTTAGTAAGCATGAAGACAGATATACTGACATGATTTTTCTCTGTTCTAACCAGCGGTGAGGCAGCTGAAGGAAGCTGTGGACTCATCCATTAACAAGCTGTCCAACTTTGACGGTAAGAGCACAGATTGTGTGTTTTTAATCGACACTAAGAGCATTTTCACACTTCGGATTTCGGTGTGGTTCATTTAAGGTGAACCACTCAAGAAATGGAGAAGAGACCTGACATGTTTTCCTGATTTATTCCACAGAAGTCATTGATGCACATCTTCAGAATAACCAGACGACAGTGGACAACAGCTTGGCCAGTCCAGACAGGCTTAAAGGTACCGTCACATTTCTGTCACTTTCATCTAAGTTTCATCAAGTCTGTTTCTTTCTAAATTAAGCTAGGTTACAGAGAGAGCCATCACATTACCATATGATGCAATCTGATAGCAATGAAGGCACATAGTTTCACCCCTGGCCTCTATTTAAAACCAAATTAAACAACTGCAGTCTCTGGGTGGCAGGAATGAGCATTATGGTTATTTTTAGCATCCTCAAAGAGCATGATCAGGTCAGGGTCATTATTGTAATGAGCTCTAATAAGACCTTTCATTTATTGTATTTTTTAATGTTTTATCTTTCTTTCTTTCTTTTATTCTTCCTTTGTTTTTTGTTTTTTGTTCTTTTCCTTTTATTTGTTTTTTCTTTTTCTTCATTTTTTTTCTTTTTTGTTCTTTCTTTTTTCTGTCCTTCATTTTTTCCCCTTTCATTTTTTCATGTTTTGTTCTTTCTCTCTTTCCAGACGGACAGATGGATGAACAAGAACTGAACGAGCCCCAGAACAGGGTTTCTCTTCTGAAAGGTAATCCCTCCATTCTTTTGTGTGGAACTTTTCTTTTCAGCTTCTCTGTCTGAAATGCCAGTGCTGGTGTGTTTGTGTGATTTGGCTGGCCTGAACAGTTAGTCACCCTCTTTATCTGCACTCATTAGAGCTCAATGGACTGGCATGCGGCACAACTGTGCAGCCGAACAGGGTGTGTTATTCCCCAATCTAACTATATATGGTCTGCATCTGCTGGAGGTGACAGCGGTGGGACCCAAAAGTATTAGCGGTGGGCTCGAGCCGTCCTCCTAGCAGGTGTCTCAGCGTCATCCTGGTTTATCTCCTTCCCTCAGATCTTTCCTCTCGCGCCACTTTATGTTCCACCAGAGGACAGTCTGGAATGTAAACCAATTACAGCCCAATTAGACACTGAGTGCTTTCACAATGTCACGTACAGCTGCCGCTCAGATGTCTGTCAAGTCAGAAGAAAAGGGCTGTTTGTTTTTTTTTTTTACTGATACAGTGCATCACTTTTTAGTTTCTCCAGAAAATGTTTTTAGTGTTACATTTTAAAACTTTCAGAGTAACTTTAAACGGATATTCCACCACTTATTTACTCATTTACTTTCATATTTTTCCAAATCTGTATAACTGACTGTCTTTTATGGGACACATAAATTATATATTTTACTCAATATTCCCAACATTCTTCAAAATGTCTTCTTTTGTGTTATGAAGAGGAAAGTCATGTTTGGAACCACACGAGGAGCTGAGTAAATTATGACAATTTTAACTTTTTGGTGAATTTAATTTGACTATGCAACCAGTACAGAAACATGCTAAAACGTCTTAGCAACATTTTGGCAGCCACCAACATTAGCCTACAACTATGGCACTGACTTTTGCATAGACAGGCAGAATTTTTTTTTATTTTTTAGGTGGTTTACTTTAAATGAAAGACCTTCAACATATTGTCTCATAGAAAAAATGTTTAAAACCAGGCTTAAGCAGCCGTTACATTAATGAATGGTGATTAAATAGCCACTACAGTGACATGAGCTGAAATAGCACAAATCTCTACTGGTAGTTTGTTTTCTAGTTGTCATAGTGGCTCCTCTAAATCGAGGGCATTCACCCCCTTCTCATGCGGTTCATCTCAGATGTCATCAGCTCAGTTGTGACTCTCACCCACTCAGGCTGAAAATATTGAGATCATTCATCTGCTTTCTCCCTGCTGAGTCAAATCAGGCAGCAGGACATTTGGCTCCCACACATGCATTTCCATTAAGGCTCATCTATAGGGTCATATAATGGAAAACAGGATTTGAGGTTGAAGTATTATACAGCCATACTACATAAGGTTCATAATGGATAATTAATCCAATTCGAAGTCCACAAAGACCATTTATTGGAACTATACCATAAAAGCAGCTAATTCAGAAATCAATATGATGTCAGTCATGAGCTCATTAACATATGGCCACCCATCTCTACATATTCATTGCCTATTGAATATTCATCAACTTAATCCACTCTTAAGTGTCAAATAGCTTGAAAAATTATTATTTGAGATTTAATTATTTGTGTTTTTGATGCAAGACACCTGTAAAACTAAGTGAACTTTAAAGTGGAAAAAATGTTGCGAAAGTAGAATATAGTGTTATTAAGCTCCTGCTGGGGCAGATAAAATCACCTGGTAGACACTTTGTGTGTGTAGTTTTAGTTTGGCCATGTGCGACTCTAGTGTCATTTGACCTGGCTGGATTTACTGGTGAACTGTATCTGTATCTGTCCTAAATAAGAGATATGACACAGCAGAAACCTCAGTGTTGGCTATTCAGAATGTCACCGTTCGTTTTTCTTAATGTCACCGTTCAATTAATCTTAATTCAGTCATCAGCTCTCGTGATGGCAGTGAGCTCATGTCCTTTAATGGGACGTCAGATAAGGAGTGCTGGCTCGGATCAGGGAGGAAGTGCCAGTTTCAGCACCTCATTGTTCGAGGGCACTCTTGAGGAAGTGTAGGACATGCCAGGCAGACTCAGAGGTGGCCAAGACCTGAGGGACGTGTGCTCTACCTTGTTATTTCTTCTTGATTTAAACGGGGACTATTCTTCACTTGAGTAGCATGCATATGTTTCCAGCTGAAGATAATGAGGAGAAATCTGGATAGATACTGTAAATCACACTTTCTGGTGCAATAAAAAAATACTAAGCTCATAAGTGTACCTTAGGTGTAGTGCATACTATGTCAAGTTGCTGAATACTAAGTGTACATTGATATATAAATGTATATTAAAGTTATCTTTGGAAAATTATGGAGAATTTTGATTATTTTTTTTTTTATTTTTTTTTAGTTTAATTTTATTTTTAATTTTTTTTTTTTTAATTTTGTTTTATTATTATATTTTTTATAAGTATTTCTGTAGTTTTTTATTATTATTTTTTTCCAGCTTTAATTATTTTAGTACCATTAAGTTTTATGGCTTTAGTTAACTATAATAACCTTGGAACGAAATATGATGACAGTTTTCACCTTGACTTTTAGCTGTTTTTGCTTATTTATAAGTTTGTTTAGTCAAATATTAAATCATTTTAAGCCTTTTTTGGCCCCCTTAAAAATGTGTTTAGGCCCCGTAGTGGGTCAGGGCCCCCTGGTTGAGAACAACTCTGATCCCATGTGTTTGTGAGGAAGACATATTTAGTCAACATCTTAATTGTTCAGTTTATAATAGTCATTCAGAATTCTGCTGTATTTGTCTTTTATCATAAGACATTTCCATTTGTTTTTGCATAATGATTTGATTTGTCCAACAAGCTTTTGTTATATGTGACCCTGGACCACAAAACCAGTCTTAAGTGTCAATTTTTCAAAATTGAGATTTATACATCACATGAAAGCTGAATAAGCTTTCCATTGATGTATGGTTTGTTAGGATAGGATAATATTTAGTCGATATACAACTATCTGGAATCTGAGGGTGCAAAAAAAATCTAAATATTGATTAAAAAATCGCCTTTAAAGTTATCCAAATGAAGTCCTTAGCAATGCATATACAATGTATTTTTGGCTATTGCTACAAATATACCCCAGCGACTTAAGACTGCTTTTGTGCTCCAGGGTCACATATATGGTAAAATGTGCCACTAGGAGGCGCTGTTGAATTGCTCTTTCGGTCTTAGATTGCATCTACAACGAGGCGTCTGGCACAAGTTATTCAATTGCCTTAATGAAGAGTTATCTGAACACATGTAACCTTATATGGCTGTGATACACAATCTCAGCCATAAAATCCTTTTGAGACGCTCTTGATGAAATCCCTGAAGAAGGAGCAGAATGAGATTACACACCATTTCATGCACCCTCTCATTAAATAAATGGCAGAACTTCAGAAACACCGCTAAGTAGACGAGTTCGTTACATCATTTTGCCTGAAAGCGACTCCCTCGCTCGCAGTAAACACCCTTCGTCTGACATCATGACAGATTACCAGCCCTTAAATTAGCACATGACTTCACCGACATCTGTAGAGTGTTCAGAGAGGGGGACGTTCATCAGTTTATGGTCAGAGGAGGTTTCCCAAAAGCCTGTTGTTACAAGACCACATGAGAGACCAACTGGATGCTCCTGAGTGACTGCAAATGTGCGTTTGCTCGGCATGAAGTCATATGAGGAAATGCAGGAGAGTGTCTAATGCCTCTTTTGCTTGGCCTGATGCAGGTAATCTCAACGGCCCATTTGTAGATCTTCCATTAGAGCTGTCTGAGCATGCGCTGGACTTACGTAATCAGGCTTCAAGTTGTGTCGATGCATTTTGGATATTCTGTTGAAAGCCGGGTCGTGCATGTTGTGCGTTTGCGCTCGAGTTGTTCACTGAGCAAACAGAAATACTTCATCCTTCACATAATGAACTGATTCTGAGCAAACATCTTGATTTTGGTTTATGGTAATCATGTTTCAGTGCTTGATGTTTCTGCCCATGGGGTCGAACAGAATGTGTCGTTTGTGGCACCAAAGGTTTTGACCCATCGTGATGGATTGGTCTCACTCTCACAGTGATTGTGGGCTTTTAGGAGAAGCACAGAAATCTGATTTTATAGGTCTGTCTCAGTTTGAGACAGTGAAAAAAAGTCTGTTTATTAGGAACTTCAGCATTTTTACATTTGCGTTCTTGTGTAAAAGTCCCCTGGTTTTTTGCATATCTAAAAATGCAATGTTTGTATAAACCAATTAAATAATAACTTAAATGCCCCTAGATATGAATCAAAACTACATATTAGTAACTGACGCTCTGAAATGTATCGCAACGACAGTTTTGCATCTATTCAGTGAATGGTATAAAAACTATTCCGGTTTCTCTAGGGTGTTTTATTCAGAGCAATTTCTTGTCTCATTTTTAAAAGTACTACTAAAATTAAAAATATGCTTTGATATACATTTTTATTACAGTATCTAAATGCTCAAATAGTGAAATTCTATATCCTTACTGGTTGAAATTAAAAAAAAATGTAATTCAAAACTGTCACTTACTGTATCAAAAATAGTAGTGAAATTTTGCAGCCCTAAATGCACTGCCTTTCAAAGTTTTTATAAATTATACCACAATGCAAATTATGCCTAAACTAAATGTTTTGTTTTGTGTTTTGTAACTAATGGCTTCCTAATTTGTTAAAAAATACACTATATATTTTTAATTAACTGGTATTAAAATTACTTCATTATATTTAAAATATAATTTGATGTAAATTTTTATTACAGTATTTAAATGCTCAGATAGTGAAATTTCTCAATTCAGCTTTTTTTGATGACTGTATCCTTAATGGTTGAAATATGTTTTTCCGCATATATTTGTGTGCTGAATTGTGATTTCAAAACTTTCACTTACTGTATCGAAAAAAAAAAAGTTTTGCAGCACTAAACGCACTAAATCTCAACCTTTTCCCAAATTAAACTCCAGTGCAAATTTTGCCTGAACTAAATGGGTTTTAGAGCTAATGGCTTCCTAAAGACATGTTTAGGTGTGAAATGAATGCATCATCAGTATTAATGCTCGAGTCTCTAAGGGCTAGAATCATTAAGAAAAGTACTAGGATTTCGCAACAAGCTGCATGATTTAAAGCATCATTCATGTTCGGGCAGGATGAGTTATAAATGCAGTACTAGGTGTGTGAGGTTTCATTTGTCAATTTATCTCTCTTGATGTCTTTTTCACTTTGTGTCAGCCATGTTGTTTCTTCATACTCCCTCACTACAGCGTCTGCTCTGTGTGTATTTGTAGAAATGGACAGGAACCTGGAAGCTGGAGACACTGAGCAGGTCATTCCACACTTCCACCGAGAGCTGCAGGAGGCCCAAGAGCTCGCCAACACTGGCAAACAGAAATGCCTCGAGCTGCAAGGTACAGCAGGGTGCTAAACGCTCCTTTCATAGAGATTCGTCATTAATAATTGAGGGTCATGATTGCACTGTGTGAATCGCTGAGCATCTTTTTCTCATCAGCTCTTCTGGAGGAAGAGAGGAGAACCAACAGACAGCAGACTGAAGAATCTGCTAAACAGATCCGCTTCTTACAGAGTGAGTCCTTCAACACTTACATGAATTGTGCTTTAATCTTCAAAAAGACTTCAAAATCTAGTCAGTATGGGTTGATGAACAGTTTTTAGTCACGCACCAATTTATTTTATTTTTTTTCAAAAACATTAAGAACGAAATAAAAAAAATTTATTTAGCAGAAAATATAAATACTTTTAAATAATCAGTTAATTACATATTTAATAATCAACACTGAAATAAAAACTGAGTTATATATAAACATTTAAATTGCACATAAGGCATTTTTATCTTAACTTTTTAATGGTTTGTGTTTCTACTCCAAATCATTGTTGAAATTAATTTGTATCTAAACAGTGAAACCAAAATTTTAATTTTCATTTAGCTGAAAACCCAATTTTTTTTAAAAATAATTAGTTAATTATATTTATTTAATAATCAACACTCAAATAAAAACGGTGTTGTATATAAATTGCAGGTTTTTATATAAAATGTTTACTGATTTATGGTTCTGCCCCAGTTTTTATTGAAATAAATTTTTTAACCAAAAAAAACGAATATGAAATTAAAGTTCATTTAGATGAAATTTCTTTTTTTAAATAATCAATTACATTTATTTTAATAATCAACATTAACAAAAAACAAAAAAAAACAGAGTTGCATATAAACATGTAAATTGCGCATAAGGCAGTTTTATATAAACTTTTTAAGTATGTAATTATATTTCTGCTCCAATTCGTTGTTGAAATATTAACGTTTAAACAGTGTCTGTAATAAGAAGATTGTTTTCATGACAGATTTATTTAAACATGCATTAAATAATGAATATATGAGGTTAAGTAAAAATAGGAGTATGTAATATAGTGCATATTTTTATGAAAATTCTCCTCTAGAGTTATTTTTTCTGGCTGACTAACGAGTTCATGGAAGTTAAATGGCTTTCCTGAGGTAAAAGTTATGTTTTATTGATGATTTTACACTATTGAAACACTTTGAATGATTAAATTAGACATGATGCATTTCGTTATGTCGTACAGTTTTATTCAGCATACCTTCTGATGTTCATTCTGTTTTTTTTGCTATAACTAGTAGTAAAGAGGAAGAGATTATTGGTTCACGTGCCGATTGAACTGAGGTGCTACAGCGGTCTGTTACGACATGAAGGAGCATCAAAACAACATTTATTGTTTGAATTTTGTTATAAAAATGACCATTTGAATGCTCAGGCTTTTTTTGCACATATCAAAAGCTCAAACCTTAATGCGATTATTGGATTTCAGACATTCTATGAGTAATGTTTACTGAACTGAAAACAGCACAGACTAAAAGATCTCTGTTCAACATAATGGAGGTCTATTAAAAACGAGAAATCAATATTGTTAATCCAACACTAGCCATTGCAGAAATGCTCATTAAACGTCACAGCTTTGGTCAATGATTTCAGCCCTCCAAAACCAAATATGTGACCCTGGAGCACAAAAGCAGTCTGAAGTCGCTGGGGTATATTTTTAGCAATAGCCAAAAATACATCGTATGGGTCAAAATTATCGATTTTTCTTTTATGCCAAAAATCATTAAGATATTAAGTAAAGATCATGTTCCATGAATATATTTTATAAATTTCCTACCGTAAATATATCAAAACTTAATTTTTGGTTAGTAATATGCATTGCTAAGAACTTCATTTGGACAACTTTAAAGGTGATTTTTAGGCATATTACCACCCATTAATCATGGCGAAATCACTGTAACTCTTCTTTGTCTTCAGCTCAACTGGCGAAGCTCCAGTCTGACATGGAGGCTTTGCGTGAGCAGAGAGAGAACACCATCACCACCACCCGTGAGGAGCTCTACAGCGCCCAGGAGGAGATCCTGTTGCTCCGGCACACCATGGAGGCCGCCACTGCTGAGCGGGAACACGAGATCGCCGCCCTGCAGGGAGACCTGAGCGCCGTCGCCGCCGAACTGGACAAATGGAGACAGAGGGCAGCCAAGTACGAAGTGGAGATCAGCAACCTGCAGGCCAGCTTCCAGCTCCAGAGCCAGCACCAGGAAAGAGCTAGCCAACTCCAAGGTACTCCATTGGTTATTGGCTGTTAGGAGCCCTAGCTGAGCAGAATCACTGTTAAACCCAGACCCGGTTCAGCGGTCGGGCCAGCTTAGCATGTCGTCATCGGCGAACCTGCTGGGTTCCTCATGTGCTGTTTGGCTTGTAATGTTCCCTGGATGTCATAAATCAAGCTGACTTCAGAGGAACAATGGCTGAGATCATCACTGATCTTTCTCTTTTCTAGCGCCTTTGATTCCTATTTGGAAACATTTGTTTCCTCTCATTTGCATTGTTTGAGTTCAGTTTTTCTGAGTGATTGGCCATGAGAAGAAAATTGAGTAAGTTAAATAAGTAAAAAACATGCAGTACTTTTTAAAAGATTGGGGTCAGTGAGATTTTTATTCAGCAAAGATGCCCTAAATTGATCAAAAGTGATAATAATGACATTTATAATGTTACAAAAGATTTCTGTTTCACATAAATGCTGTTCTGTTGTTCTTTCTAATATCTAAGAATCCTGAAAAAAAAAGTTTCCACAAAAGTTTCCAAAAAAAAAATTAAGCAATGTTGATAATGAACAGCAAATCAGCATATTAGTCTGATTTCTGAAGGATCATGTGACACTGAAGACTGGAGTAATGGTGCTGAAAATTCAGATTTTATCACAGAAATAAATTAAATTTTAACATGTATTCAAGTAGAAAACAGTTATTTTAAATGTTAATATTTTTTCACAATTGTACTGTATTTTTAATCAAATAAATGCAGCCTTGGTGAGCAGAAGAGATTTCTTAAAAACATTTAAAAAAAATCTCACAGACCTCAAACTTTTAAAATGGCAGTGTAAGTTCAAAGATTGAATATATGTTTCTCCACAGCAGAGTGTAATGCATGTGTGTTGTGGCTGTACTATCAAAACAGTGTGATTTTAAATGTTTATTTGCTGTGTTTCTTTAAGTCTTTGCATTTCACAAGACTGATTTCTTCACGTATTGAGAAGGCACACATGTGGTATTAATTTCACTAGGGTCTTTCTCTCCAGGCCCTCTTTAATGTGTCATCCAGAGTCACGGAAACAGTTTTATTATCGTCCATTCTGCGGGGTTTATTTATTATTTATTGGATCCTCGTTTGGTTTTCACAGAAAAATGTGCGTAAAAGTGTTTTGGCAGTGCTTCTGAGATCTTTTAAAGCCATTTTAGGCTACACAGTATCTCAACCAGTAAAATTAAACACGACAGGCTAAAATTGATACTAGCGATGTACCAAAATAAAAATTCCTATCTGAAACCAAAAGTGTGCCCACAGACACACTGGAGCGAAAGACAGGATGTGTTAAATTAACCTGTGTTTTGAATAACTATAAGTGTGATTTTGTTTTCATATTGTGTCATCATTTAATTTAGATGATGGTTTTAACTGGTTTTATTATAGATTGCAGAAAATGAATTAATAAAATAATTTTTGCCTTGAGGGATTATAAAGTAAATTATATATGAGCAACATCACTCGAGTATGAGAGCGATACCAGCTCTATATCAGGCCAGTATCGCTCGAGTACGAGAGTGATATTGCGTTTAAACAACAGTTCGACGGAACATGTGTAATTAAACAAGAAACAACGGAGTGCCTAATAAAACCCTCTTTTGTGCGGAACTACTTCCTTCCGCCACGGATTCAAAGCTAGGTAACAGTTAGGTTATTAGTGAGAAATAATGAGGTTATAAGAGAGAAACAATGCGGCAAGACGTGCATTTAAATGAGAGAGAGAGAGACAGAGACAGCGAAGCTAGAGGTTTCTTCTTATATTAACTAACATACTCTATGATTAGCTCAGTGAATAATAAAAATTTAAAAAAACATAGACCCGGCTAGAACAAGCGGAGTGATACGAAATTGTGAAAGGGCGTTCCTGTAGCGATACCAGTACAATATCTCACGGTTCTCAACCAATCAGATTTGAGAACCAGAACGAACTGTTGTATAAATTTATATATTAAATAAGATTATACACACACACACACATATAAATATTATGTATATTTAAAAATGTAATTTTCATTTTTTTTTACGTTAATGAACTGAACAATGATTACAGTTAAATACATTGTGTAATGAGGTGTTTGGGCAGTGAGTGGAGGGAATCAGTTTTATAATTAGTTTTTCTCTCTCTGTCTCTATGTCAGGTGAATTGGAGAAGCTTCAGGCCGAGTGCTCTAGTCTGCAGAATGAATGTGACAGTCTGCGGGCTGAGAAGACAACACTGATGCAGAAACTCCACAGACTAGAGGAAGAACTCGACAGGTGGGTCGCATTCACACTAACAGACTCTCTGTGTCGTTTAGATCATTTCACACATTTCACAACAAACATGAGTCACTATTTTTAAAGGGGTTTCAAGTACATTATGTCAGATTCCACACCTGCTCTCTTAAATGAAGAATGTTTGAATCACCATATTGCACAACAACTGCATCTCTTTGTATTTACAAAATACTTTTTCATTGATACTTTTTTAAACAACTGGTTACCGTTGTAATATTTAAGCACCTTTGTCCTGTACTTAATCTCCACCCTAGGCTGTGTGTGTATGTCTCTGTGCTGACGTTATCGTTTTATAAGTCACCGTTATGAGCTCATCAGCCCTAAAGCTTCACTTCATTATTAGGAATGTTCTACAACATTCTTTTCCATGACATGAATTTATTCCATTCATTAGTTCATTTTCTGAAAACTCCACAGAATGTAAACAGCACAATCTTTGACTTTATTTTCCTTTCTTTGTTTTGCAGCTCCAGAGAGCGGAGTGCAACGTTGTGCAGCAGCCTAAACGCTCTGGAGAAATCCCAGGGTGACCTGGAGAATAAACTGGGCTCAATACGAGACCAGCACCAACAGGACGCTAGCAAACTGAAGATCCAACTGGCTCAAGGCGAAAGCCGCACCAGAGACCTGCAGAAGGAGGTATGAGCAACCGAAGACCACCCAGACCTTTTATTGAAACCAAGTTGCCAAAATGCACAACCATAAACATTCATTTCTTTTATTCAGCAAGGTTGCATTAAATTGATCAAAAGGGACAGTAAAACCATTTATAATGCTACAAAACATTTATTATTCATCTCCACAAAAATATAAAGCAGCACTGATTTCAACATAGGTAATAGAAAATGTTTCTTCAGCAGCAAATCAGCATATTAGAATGATTTCTAAAGGATCATGTGACACTGAAGACTGGAGTAATGATGCTGAAAATACAGCTTTGATCACAGGAATAAATTACATTTTAAAATATATTCACATAGAAAAGTTATTTTATACAGTTATAATATTTCACAATTTTACTGTTTTTACTGTATTTTTAATCAAATAAATGCAGCCTTGGTGAGCAGAACACTTTCAAAAATATTTTTTTTTAAAAACGTACACACCCCAAACATTTTTTTTTGCTTGTTTTTGGTGCAATGATTGCATAATCTCTCTTTTTCTCTCCAGTACGATGACACTCAGAATCTGCTCTCAGATCTCCGGCAGCAGTATGAGCAGACGGAGCAGGAGAAACACTCCATCAACGACGAGCTGGAACAGTGCAAGGTCAACCTCAAGCTCCTGCAGGAGAAGGGCAGCAATGTGAGTCTTACAGCCAGCACATATCATTTACAAAGCAACAAAAAACAAAACTAAGCCAGCATTAAGATCTTACTCCAATTAATTAGCTGTCATCTACATTACGCCATTTAACGCGGTGGTCAGCAACCAGTGATAGATCTTACTTCACTGTTTTGCACGGCTCTGGAAAGCGCAGCAGAACACACATCTCACACGATTTTGTGAGTTGTTAGCAAATATTATTTGCAATTCAGCATTTGTAGGCATCATAGGTCCATTCAGATTTTCTATAATACCTTAAAAAGCTGTAGCTGAAATAGGTAGGTTTTATTAGATATTGTTATTTTTTATCAGCTCATATTGAGTATATCTTTTAGGGCTGTCAAAAAAAAAATCGAATTTCGAATATTTGTCGAATTAAAAAAAAAAACGTTGCATTTGAATTTTAGGTGTGCGTTAAGGAGACAGCCTTATCAGTGGCGCACGAGATGCGATGACAATGTAAGTGTCGTTGCATTATAATGTTTTTGTTAGCCTATCAAGTTGAAGCCACTAGATGTGGCGCTGCTGCGTTGTTAATTACAAATATTGTTGAAAAAGAGAACCTCAATGCGGAGAAGATCTTGTTTACATCAAAACTTAAACCAAGCCATTCACACAGAACACATATTTCGCGCATTTTCTAGAGGGACATCTATCACCGTTGCACTCGCATCTCGCACAAAGGAGCCGCATGTTTAGAAAGCCATGTAAAATTAATGCGAGTTTAACTTTGAAAAAACATATATCGAGACTTTATGGCGGGTTTTTTTCCCCATCCCACTGCGTCTCATGTTTTTAAACGAGAAATGTACTCTGTGTGATTGGCTTTCCACCCTTTGTATTAAACTATGCATACATACGTACATACATGATGCTGTTTTGTTCATAGTTAAGCAACTTGCTTAATTATAATTGGTTTATAAACATTATTTTAAACATTATGCACTTTTTTCACAGATAGTCATGTTATCTCATACTTTGAATAAACGTGCATTAGTAATATTTTGCACGATGCGCCCTCTTATGGCCTCAGAAGAGAAGCCAAAAGCTTTTCTTTACCCTAACTGAAATTATACATTTTAAATTCGAATATAATTAAAATTTTGATAATATTTAAGTATAAAATTCGAATTTAGTTTTTCAGCCATTTTGACAGCCCTAATATATTTATTAACCCATCAAAGACTTGAGATTTTTCATTTTCAGGTTCATCCAAGAGAAGAATATTTTCCACTCTTTTTGACACATTTTCCTTGTTTTTGGCCATTTGTGCACTTCAGTTTTTTGAATGTGCTACACAGAACTGTAGTTATCACCTTAATATCCCACAATTCCCTTCCCTGCCGATTTGCAGTCACAATCACTTCATGTGTTGGTGATTTTAATTTAACACTGATAAATTGTAGATAAATTGTTCTTTAGTTGAATGCCAATAAACAGTTTATTGTTTGCTGTGATTTATTAATGCCTTGAACACTGTCCTCGTTCCTGATTTCCTGCTTCTAGATGTTTAAATGTGTTTGTGGTTCTGGGGCTTTTGATATTTTTGTTTGTGGTGTTTTATCGATAATCCCACCCACCGCACCCCTTTTTATGGCCATTTTTGTTTGTATACGTTTGTATGTTTGTTGTAGTTGTTCGACTCCCCCAGCCTGATTTCCGTTGAATAGTTTGAAGATTGATTTTTTGTTTTATTTGTAATATCCCTTCCCTCCTCTAGCCATCCATATTGCAGCCTGTCCAAGCCATTTTCATCGGTCTATTCCTGGCTTTGCTGTATTGGTGCTTCGGCCAGTTGTGGTAGAAAGGTACACACGCTCCTGTTGAGTCTGTTTGTGTGTCTCCTGTATATCCACCTCTGTAAATATCATCACGTGTGTATATACGACCTGTGCATGGCAAACTCTCATCCGTCATCTCTGCACTTGCTTCGCCCCAAAATCCCTTTTCGGTGCTTGGCAACACGTGGGAACTCTTAACTGATTCCTCATCCACCCAGAATCACCAACTACTAACCAAACACATTAACTGTCTTGTCTTGCTTGGATCACTATAATGGTCATATAAATCTCTGCATTTGGGGATTTTGGATGCTATTTTCTTTTTTTTGTTCTGTTGTGGGGTGTTTTTGTCATCATATCATCTTTCTTTTGCTGTTCTTCTTTACTTTTATAAATTAAAGGCATATTTCATCCAAAAATGAAAATCTTGTCATCATGTACTCCCCCTGATGTTGTTTCAAACCTGTATGACTTGGTATCATTGAGAGAACACAAACGAAGAGGTTTTGACAAATGTTCATGCTGCTCATTTCCATGCAATGAAGGAATAAAGTGATCAGTGGCTGTCATACTGTGAAAATAACAACAGCATAATGACAGTCCATATGGACTCATGCATTATATATACATGGCAACCCTTTCAAATATATATATATATATATTTTTAAGCTTATGTTTCTGTTTTTGTAGATATGCATTATGAAGCATCTTTGGTATTTACAAGGCATATATTTGCTCTCGGGACATGATTATAAGCGTTCCTTTCTCCTTGTTTCCAATAAGGTGTGGAATGTCTCGAATACCTTTGCTGGATTGTTCTTTTGTCTGGAAGTCGGGAGAGATCTGTAACTTGAGACTGCATGTTTCCTGCAGAACCACATTCTCAATGAAGCCTGATAGAGTGCCAGCTGGCTGCACCCACTGCCAAAGCTCATCGACTGCTGTCTGACACATTCAGGGGCCTGTGGGGGCCTCGCTTTGACATGACTGTGACATGTGGGCGTATAACCCGGCCTGACTCAGGACAGCAGCGATGATGGGAAGCTCCCCGCCCGTCTGATAAGACTCGACACACCCGTGCTGAGATTCATGCAACATTACTGTCAGCACTGAAGCGCATTTAAAACACACACTCTCTGTTCTTTAATAGCCTACTATTTCTGTGGCTCATACTTTTTTGGGGATTTGAACTGCTAAGCTATACAAACGGAACATGCTCGAGCAGCGTCTATAAATAAGTATAATTTAGTCTTGGTCATACTGAAACTACAGATATATATAAGGAATGGTTCACCCAAAAATGACAATTTGCTGAAAATGTACTGACACTTAGGTCTTAGCATATAGATGAGTTTGTTTCTTCATCAGATTTGGACGAACAGCATTGCATCACCAATGGCTGCTCGGCAGCGAATGGGTGCCGTCAGAATGAGAGTGCAAACATGAGTCCATAATTCATATGCTTCCTCCAGTTAAAAAGTCCATCTCCTGTTGTCCTCTCAAATCAAAATCCATTTGTTTGAACTGTTTTTGTTTGTAAACAGTGTTTGATCTGATCTGTGCAGATTTCTCACCTGATTCAGGAGAACATTCTTATATATATATATGTGCGTGTCATAAATTATAAATATATTTTATATATTATTACAAGTATAATATAATTATATAAATTAAATATTTTCTTATATATGTCCAGTTAGTAATTTTAGTGCTTCAACTTATTTCAGTTATTTAAGGTAACATTTCTAATTTTCATTCAGTTCACTTTCTTATCCATATAATATTTATATTTTATTTGATCTCAGCTATATTTAAATCAACAAAAATTGTTTTACGTTAGGTTGACATAATAATTGTGGTCTCAGATGCTTTTGTCTGTTTATGTCCTTGTTATTTTTTTGTTATCTGTCTAGATAACAATTAGAAATGCGTTTATGCTTCAACCTTCTTTGTTATTATTTATTTGTAAAAAGATACATTACACACAAAAAAAAACAGTGTTAGGACAAATCAAACAGAGTAATATAATAGTAATAGTATGCTTATGCTTCAATATCATTTAAGCAAAACATAAAAGAGTGTATGCAGATTGCAGAGAAGTGTACAGGAGGTAGTATGAATGTACTTATATTTACTATTTGACTTGTGTGTGTGTGTGTTTTTACTATTATTATCCTCTTGCCATATACTTTCTTTTGAAAGAGCTATAGGAGAGAGAAGGGTAGCATGCTGTAGAAATGCAGGTTGGGTTTGATGCTGCGCAGGTGGCGTCACCCGCGCGCTGTATATAACAGCGCAGGCGCGTCGCGAGAATTTTTTTTGTTCATTTTATTTATTATATAATATTATGTTTATCCTTTTTTATTTACCCTCCTGTTTTTTATAATGTTTTTTTAATCTATTTATTCATATACAGTGTTAGAAATATATATTATTTAATATTTTTCTAATTGTGTGATCCTTTAGGAAATTTATTATTATTATTAATTTTATTACTTTCTGTGCCAGAAACATATTTTTATGGCCTGTTTTTTGCATATACACCAGCTGCAAATTTGTTGTTGTATCAAATGTATTTACTTAATTTTAATTTTTAATTTATTTATTTTATTTATTTATCATTTTTCATTTAAATTTCTTTTGCATTTTCAAATGTATTTATTTATATTTGTATAATGTATTTATTTATTTTATTTGCATTTATTTATACAACATTAGAAATGTTTTATTTATATATATTTAGGAAACCAACCTTCTGCTTGCACAGTAGGCGTTAATGCATTTATCTGTGTGATGTAGTCAAGTTGAAAGTTCAGATCAACTCATTTTAGCCGTTTAGTTGTGATATTTTTGGACTGTGGAGGATGTGTTGAGTTCTGAAATGTACTACGTTTTCATGAAGTGTTTATCTTTACCGATTAAGACAAATTAGATTTCAGTATGAGGCCTTTATTGAATACTCTTCCTTGTTGCTGTTCTTGCTCTTTTACATTAGTTGTATTACACAGGACGTGCATGCAGAAGCTCTTTATTTTGGGATTTGCACAGCACTTCCTGAATGACGGTATCTTCCTGTCCAGAAACAGTCAGTGGGGCGTTCTCATTGACACACATTTAGATCCGCGTGGAAAGGTTGAGTGTTATCGTGAGGTTCAGTGCCCAGACTTTCCAGCGTTTCAAAGGGCAGCCGTGTTCAGAGATGGGTGAGAATTACCAGCTAAATAAACACGAGAAGGACACCGTGTCTGCTGTTTTGACCGTAAATCTCACCGGATTTGCATTACATTTGCCCATGTTTTTGCTTGTCTCTCTAATGTCAAAGACAAGAAGGGATCATTGGAAAGGTCACTTGAAGAACTTTCTGGCCTCTTCTAGTCTTCAATTCATGTCCAGAATAAGCTGTAAAGTGGTCTGGACTTGAGCTGCGTGGCTAATGTCATAATATCAGGTTTTGCATGAATTGCACAGTCTGTAGTTCATGTTTGGTCCTCCTTTCTGTTTTTGTGTTTCCCTCAGGCCTCTGCAAGTGTGGTTTGACATGATCGCTCCATACCGTATCGGTTTTGTTCATTGATCATCATGTGGTCTTCAGCCGCCCCCAGAATTAGCCCCAGTGGTTCTATTGATGTTCTGAAGGCGGTTCTTGCCGAGTCAACTCTGATTCTGCTTTGACATTTGTCCTGATTTTTCCACGGTCAGAGAGAAGTGACGGCTTGATGACGTGAATGAAGTCATGCAGGCGGTGATGAAAGTGTCGTTAGGGTCGTTCACCATTAGTTTTCCATTAGAGCGGTGTGGGATGAGGACATGCTGATGAATGACATCATGCTGTGACCTCATTAGCTGGTGTGCGCTGAATGGGAGGTGATGCACATTTGCAAATTTGATGGTTTTCTGCATGCAAATTAAATTAAATTCACAACCCATTTTATTTCTGTGATTCATTCCCAGTAAGACAGGTAATGTTTGTTAAAGCAAATAAAGTTCACATGAAATCAAAACTAATCCTAAGATCTAGAAAACTAGAGCAAAGATGCTTTCCAAGTTACGCTTTCCTGCTTGACAGCTTGTAATCAACACTCACCAAAAAAAAATCATTTAGGTTATTTTTTTCTCCCCTGATTAAAAAGTGGGGGGAAAAAACAAAAACAAAAAAGGCTACAGGTTTGCTGCACACTTTGGCCAGAAACTGTGCGATTTAGATATTAATACAAATATAAAATAATTTTAATAATAGTATTAGTTGTAAAGTGTGTTTATGTATTTATTTATTTATAGTCATTTTGATATATAAATCAACATTGTTTGGGCCAAACATATAATAATAATAATAATAATAAAAAACCTTTTTTGGCATTTATTTAATAAAATTATTTTCTAGTCACTGATATGAAAATTCCAATTGTTTTGGAGCCAAATTGATAATAATAAACACAATTTATGGTTATTATTATTATTATTATAGTCATATTGATATATAAACCATATTTGGGGCCAAATGTATAATAATAAACAATGTTTTGTTGTTGTTGTTGTTTATTAATATAATATAATTTAATTATTTAAAAAAAATGATGGTCCTATTGATAGAACCAAATATATTATACACTATTTTTGGCTTAAAGGGGTCATATGATGCTTTTTTTAAAGATCATTATTTGGTGTAACAGAATATGTTGACATGCTTTAATGTTCAAAAAACACATTATTTTTCAAATACTGTACATTATTGTAGGTCCTCTATGCCCCGCCTCTCTCAAACGCTTCGTTTTCTACAAAGTCCCTCCTTTCCGACAAGCGCAGTCTGCTCTGATTGGCCAGCTGACCCAGTGCATTGTGATTGGCCGAACACCGCAAGCACTCGTCGGAAATGTAACGCCCCTTACCATAATCGCAGCTTCATCTTACAAAATAAATGTAAAGACAGAGCCCGAAAGGGGAACAGAGTCGCGTGACAGACACAGTGCTCTCGCTCTCG